TCTCATAATCTGTCATTGAACAGCTGTTCTCAATTTCAGGCATCAGAAGACCAACCTTCCACGCCACATTCAGAATCGGTTGAATAGCAGTCCGAATCTGTGTCATAGAACAGCTGTTTCTCATTTCAGCATTTTCCATACGACGTCGTCGTGTATAATGCTCTCTAGCAATGCTAGCAGTGAATCTCTGTGCTAAGACCACGATAAGAAGCCATAAATCTTAACCTCGAGCCCACACATACAAAAATCTCATTCACGACTTCTCTGAACCAAATATCTGCTTCATGATGTCATGGGTGGCTAACATATTGCGATGTTTCAAAATCGTTACAAACACAATGGTTTGACTGCAATGAATGAACGAATGACCGATCTGGCAACACCATATTCCAAGAATTAACTGCTGTGTTTATCTAACACATTAGGCAGCGAGGAAATTCAGACTGCTACAGCGTGCATACCAACATGTACCATAAGATAAATAAGCTTCAACAAGAGATAACATTGTATGTGAGGTGGCCATGAAGGACTTACACTGCTAAAACGCATGGTGCAGAATATGTATTACGCTGCTAGAACGCGTGGTACAGAAAATGTATGAATTTCGGGAAATTTTAATTTGGGAATCAGTGTAAAAATTTTTTACAGATATTAAAATCTGTAAATTAGAATATGCCTGAACACAGGCACTGTTGGCTTGATAAATGGCATCACCATTAGGGAACAAAGTTTGCACCATGGGATGGACCTGGTCGCCCAAAATGGTCACATAGTCATTGGCAGTGACGTGACCTTGCAGGGTAATGATGGGTCTTACAGAATACCACGATATGGCTGCCCATACCATGATCGAGCCCCTGCCATGTTTCACTCTTGGCAGCAAACAATCTGGATTGTAAGCTTGGGATGGCGTTCTCCAGATGTAAACTCAGCCAGAAGTTGGAAACAGTGTGAAGGTGGACTCATCCGACCAAATGACCATCTTCCCTTGCTCATAGTCCAGGTTTTATGACTTTGGCACCAGACTGTCCTCTTAGTGGCATTTTGATCACTGATGAGTGGCTTTGGAATTGCAGCTCGTCCAGAAATACCCTGCTTGTGGAGTTCCCTTCATACTGTTTTGGTGCTGACAGGGTTTGTGAGCATGGCATTCAGTTCAGCAGTCACTTTTGCAGCTGTAGTCTTCTTATTTTTTGTCACAATCCTGCGCAATGTTCATCTGTCTTGATCACTGAACACACATTTCCATCCACGTTGGTGTTTATCGGATGCGGTTTTTTCAGTCCTCCTGTATGTGGTCATAATCTTGGATACTGTGCCTCGCGAAACACCAAAAACCTCGGCTACCTTGGTTATGGAAGCAACCACCATATTGGCCCCCACAANCCCGCGTTCGAATTCTGTTAGCTCTGATGTGATGCACAAAAAATTGCACAGAACACTGTCTCGACAACAAAGGAAGCTTGCAACGTATTGCGGAGGTTGTACAGGTAGTGGTGTTGGGCAGAGATGACAGCGTGACCTACAAACATCACTAAAATAAACACTTCAATTCACACATGCATTTCACGAGGTGTTTCCATATTTTTGTTCATCCCCTGTATATGTATGTATGTATGTATGCATGCCCCCCCCCAAATCTTGTTTCTTTAAGATTATTTTAATATTGTCTCGTCTATGTGTAGGTCATTTACTTGTAAGTGGTCTCAATCCATAAGGATTTCATATGAAAACTTTGTACCTGTTCCATTTCTGTCCCATGCATTCTACATGCCCTGCATATCTAATCCGCCTTGATTTCCTCATCCTAATTATATTTGACAAAGAATACAAATTGTGAAACTCCTTATTATGCACTTTTCTCCAGCCTCTTGTTATTTCCTCCATTTTAAGTCTAGATGTTCTCGTTAGTAGCCTGTTTTCAAACACCCTTGAGGTGTGTTCTTCCCATAATGGGAAAAACCAAGTTCTGCACCATAGATAACAGGCAAAATTATAATTTTCTTTGTTTTAATCTTCAGGTTTTCAGATATCAGTTGGGAAGACAAAGGATTCTGAAGTGAACAGTAACAATTGTTCCTAAAATTGTCTCCTTTTAAATTCTTTGTGAATGCAGTTTGGATATTTTAAGTGTTCTTTCTAAATATTTGAGCATTTATGTTACAATTTTGTCCCACATTTTGATGACAAAATATGATTATCTGCTTTTCTTTGCATTTACTTCTAGATCATACTCCTTAACACATTGAGGACTGGTCGCATGATATCATGATTTTAGGACACGTTAGGTTGCAACACACTATACCTTGCTGTTTTGGTGCTCAGCTGCATAGCAACTGAGCAATAAACCTCTGGAATGTTTCCTTAGTATTCAGTAACATGAACTCACTGTTATCTCAACCCATTCCAAAGGAAAATGTGTAGCTGTAACTGTATGTAACAGCCAGTAAGTTAGTAGGGGAATATGCATCGAGGACAAATTCTTCTCCGATGAGTGAGCTTACGTGCCTTGTGAGACGCATAGTGATGGTGACTCAGACAGTGGCAGTGACAGGGGAGAACAAAGAATTGTGGCCACAGACAGTAAAAGTGACAGTAGCTCTGACAAAAATGTGGTAGGACCATTGCAGGGACAGGAAAAAATCTAAACCCTGATTCGAACTTGAAATACAAAGCATTTCTGATGAATGTGGCAAAGGCCTGGGATACAGACCAGATGGTGGCGGCAGAACAGAGTCAGACAGACTTAGTGCAACCGGGCTCATCAACTCCCACCCCACGCAGGCCTCATGTGGACCCCCCAGGGTGACTCGGGTGATATGCGGAAACATACCCTCGTGAAAATTGTGAAGAGTGAACATTCCAAGGGGAAGCATCCTTCTAGGCAATGCCATGTTCACACAGTTCACAAAAAAAATGGAGTATGACTGTCTACATTGCAAGTTCTGTGTAATGCCACTTCACAAAGGGGAATGTTTGCAGAAATATCACACTCTCAAGCACTTCTAGGAGCATTGGTAAGTGTTCTCCAAAAATTTTAGTTCATAAAATTAAGTAGGATTTTATATTAATTTTTAAAGTGAACAGTGCACAAGTTAGGATAGTAGGTTTAATAATGCCGGTCCCCAGGGTGATTTAAATATTTAAATCGCCAGTCCACAATGAGTTAAAGTCCATCTTTGCTGTGAGTCGGGGTTTGTTATACCTTATGTAGACAACCTTATGAATGAAAAGTCCTGTGTAATCATGTTTGAATTTCCCATCGGCATATGGATACCAGAAGTATGTTGAAAACAGAATCTTATAACTTCCTAATAATGATATAATGATGTGTATTATTTACTGATATCAACAACCCCCTCATTCCCATAGTAGATGGAATGTAATAGTGTATGTTACCAAGAGATGTTTCAGAAATTTGCAGCCACTGTCAAGTGCTTTGACAAGTAGCGTATATTTCTAGAGTGGAGTGCTTTGAAGTGCATAAGTCACAAGCAGGTTGAAGCAGGTGATACATATTGTCATGATTTAGGGCTGTGACTGTAGACAGGGTTTGGATTGGAGAATACATTTATTGACGACTTACACATCTTGGAACTACAAACACTTGCAACACTATTGCTGATCTACACACTTTACATATCAATAGAGCACATGCTAAGTCTTCTGAGTCTGCTTTCACTGGTCATTTCCTGGTAACAGATCTGAACAGTGGAGAGTCTTCAGCTTCTGTGGTCACATTGTTGCCCACTGGTTAACACTCCACAGCTAAACTGTCAACTGAACTATAGCACCATCTCTTCTCAGCCTCCCTTTCAGAGCTCAACTGAATTCATTGCTCCAACTGTCCTGGTTATAACTTCTTGGCATGGACCACATGGAAAACACCATTCTTCTGTTATATTCATGTCTGTTGCTGCAGGAACATGTTTACTAAGCTGTTCCCCAGAAACGGCCCTTGTTTATCCACCTGTCTTGCAGCCGTTGCATAGCAGTGGCTGTACATGCTACATTGTAGTTACTACTGTGTGTCATTTCTGCTCGCCGTCATGTACATTATCGCCTTGCATTACTGAGTACATGTGTTCTGTCATATGGAGTGTTTCCACCCCAGAAATGGAATGTTTCATCTTGCAGGCTGGTACAAGGTGCATTAAATAGTATATACTGACCAATATCCATATTGTGCTGTTCACAGTGTGAGATCTGCATGTTGGCAATGCCTTGTTGGGACCGACCAGTGCTCATGTCATGCAACCACCAGTTCTGTACCTCCTGCTGGGAGAGCTACCTCACAGTGAAGATCCAGGATGGAGATGCTCACCATATCCTGTGTCCTGCCTATCAGTGTCATATCCTTGTGCCTGTAGAAGTCATTGAAAAACTAGTCAGTCCTGATATGGCACGCAGATACCTGCAGTTTGACATCAAGGTAAATTACTTCCAGCTTCTAGTTCCACTTGTTTGTCCTTTGACATTTTAAGTTCTCACCATACAAAATATTAAGATTACTTCTTATTGTCTAAAACTGAACTTTCATTTTGATATAGACTACTCTTGAGTGAAGCAGTAACTGAAGAATATGAAGGTAAAAGTAAAGTTTTACTTGTGCTAAATTAAGCACCATACCTTGAAGATATTTTGACATGACGCCTGAAAGGGGAAATTGCGGAGCCAGAAGAGACTGCCATTGCTAGGGAACATCTTAGTAAACACGTTTTTGTAGCAGCGATNTTACCTCTTATTGTCTAAAACTGAACTTTCATTTTGATATAGACTACTCTTGAGTGAAGCAGTAACTGAAGAATATGAAGGTAAAAGTAAAGTTTTACTTGTGCTAAATTAAGCACCATACCTTGAAGATATTTTGACATGACGCCTGAAAGGGGAAATTGCGGAGCCAGAAGAGACTGCCATTGCTAGGGAACATCTTAGTAAACACGTTTTTGTAGCAGCAATTACACAGAACAGTGGAACTATGGAAAGTGGTGTTTTCTATGCAGCCTGCCACTAGGCTGTACGAGTATAACAAGTTCTAATTCAAGCTTTTGGGCAATCGATTTGGGAGACAGTTACCAGCCAGTAAGGATGTGAACCCAGGAGCTGAGGAATCTATGTCATTGGGAGCCATTACCAGGCAATGACTGGTGAAGACACAGCAGACTGAGAAGACTTAGCATGTGCCATAGTGACTTGTAGATTGTGTAGATCCATTAACTGTTATTATTTACATGTAGTTACAAGTTTCAGGAATCCAATAAGTCTGATTACCAATCCAAACCCTGTGTCTTGGCACTAGATGGAGGTGAGTGGTCAGGTTCACGTGCCTGCTGCTTTACCCCTCAGAAACAACCCCTGCTACACATGAGGAAGCTAAATGGACCCCAAAGCCAGTTCAGATGTTATGGTGAAGAGAAACGTTTCATACCTTCAGCTGGGAATCAGACCCCAATTATCCAGTTGGCCAGCCTGTAGCCTAGTCATTATATCAGCTGAGCTACCCTGGCTCCAACTGAAGGATATACATATAGTTGTTTTTAAAATGTGAAGTACGATTTACTTAATAGAATTTTATTGAAAGATGACACATATTTTAGACATGGGAGAGAGGGTTGTTCTGTAAATTCATTGATTTCTTGTGTGTCGAATAATGGACCTAATGATGACTTGGTGATCGTAAAAGAATTCTTAAATGTGACGTTATAACTGTTCCATTCAGTTACATTTGATTTCAATATTATTTACTTTGCCCTGAAGGTGGAAGCAGGAGGTTCCCCTGAAACATAGGGCCATATCAGACTACATGCTATCCATCTTGGGATTATTTTTGCCTAGAGTTATGCTGTGAAACTACAATATCAACTCAAGCATGCCTTTCACTGCCATTCATTGCTGCCAACTGCTGCTCATATATATGACAGAGTAGCAAGCAATAGCCTTTTTTATACAGTTAAACTTGCGTTTAAGGTTTCATTGAGGAATAGTGGATTTCAGCACTAAACTGAGCAATATTGTTCTTGGGGAGAGGGGGGATATTTAGTGCCACTTTCAGTGTCTGAGGAAATTCATAAATGGGAGGAGTTTAATGCTGAAATTATTGGCTTGGGATCAGTGAAACTGAACACTAAATGAGGAGAAACTGTGAACGTATATAATCACTCAAAACGAGTTGTGGAGTCAACAGCTGGCTATCACCAGGCAGTGGCCTGTAAACAGCGACAGAGGAATGGTGTTTTCTGCGCAGTCCATGCCAAGGTGTTCTAAGCAGGACTAGTTAGCTGTTGCAGTTAGTTAGATAACCGCTGGGGGTCAGTTGTGAGCTGTTGTTGTGAGAAGCTGATAGCTGAGATTGTGAAAAGTTCAGGGAACCCAGTGGAAAGGGAACATCTATCATTGGAACCCATTACAAAGCAACAACTAGTGAGATCTGTAACAGATCGAGAAGACATAGTGTGGCCTATAGTGAAATTTAGCGAGACTTTTATAGTTCATGTGTTATAAATCCATTGCCAGAAAATGGATAGTGAAGACATTGTAAAGGCATAGCCATTGTTGAGATCTGTTACCTAGCAGTGACTAGTGTAAGCAGACATTGAAGACTTCATTAATGTGTTATAATTACAGTAATTTTTAGGGTGTTATAATTACTTGTACTTACAACTTATGAGCATCCATTAAATTGATCAACCAATCCAAACCCCGTCTACAAGTTATATAAACACGTGACAATATGAACTCTGTTCTGTGAGGTGTTTTAGGCACAGATTGGTTCCATCTAATGGACCCAACAGAATGGTCTTCATACTTTTATGTGATGATAGAAGGAGAGCCAACTCCAGAAATACCATGTTATTTTTAACCGAAAACAAGAAATTGGAAAATGTCCAACATATATGTCACTATAGAAAATAAATTGTTTTCAGACACATGTCTTCATGTGCAGTGTTAGGTCCAGGGAAGAATGTCAGAGAATCTCAGCAAAATATAATTTTGGAAACTACTATTTTCTGGGATGAGATGTCATGTAGTCTGATGGAAGTTATCTGACATTTCAGAGGATCATAACTGCTTCCAACTCAAGGGTCAAAGAATGACTTTGTGGCTGCTTCTTGGCTTACTCTTTGACCCTGAAACGTCAGTAAACCTCTGCCATACTGCACAGCATCAAGTACTCTTCAATATCACTGCTTTGAAAACCTCATATCTAACAAATATAATTTGATTTAGGTGTTTGCTTTTTCTGATACTTCAAAGAAGGAATTCATGGAATAAATAAATGTTGGAATCATTGCGGCATTGTTGAAAGCTCTTTCTTATCCCCCAAGGCATTTGTTGAGAGTAACCGCAGCATCAAGTGGTGCCCCATGCCAGGCTGTGGCCGTGCTGTCCGCCTGCCTGAGACAGAACAGACACAACCCAGTGATGTCCTGCATAATATTCCATCAGCGAAACCTCCACTGCTCACTTCCCATGCAGTTGATTGTGGAAACGGACACTTCTTTTGCTGGTAGGTTGCTGACATCTCTTGATGCCCAGAACACATAAATGGCTACTGTGAACATTCTGAGATAGGGAATGCCACACACCTAATTCAGTTTGATTGGTAGTCTCTGTTTATTATGTGTGGACTGTTAATTGAATAATCTTTGGAATAACTGATTAATAAAAACATATAAAATGGAGGGGTTACTGTCACACCAACAGATGTTTTTATTATTTCACTCACATGTTTTGGCCCAGACAGGCCATCAGGTGATTTGTGAGGAATATACAAATGGTGATGGAATCATATAAACTACATTGCTGGTATAAATGCCTCTGTGGGCTGAAAAATAAGAACATTTGAGTGTGACTGTAGCCCCTTCATTTTTATTTGTAAGCACCACAGACAGGATGCAGCACTGCAAGATAATAAAAACATACTTTGTTTCAAAATAATAGCTGCTTTGAAGAATGCTGTCTTCTGGGATGTGGCACCCTGTAGATCTTGTGTAAACCGACATTTTGGAGGAACGTGTCGCCTCCATCTTCAGGGTAGAAAAATCCGCACGTGAGAAACCAGTGTGAGTAGGTGGCTGCAGACTGAGTCACCAGTTGTAAACACCCAGCTATATAAGAAGAGGAAGGGGAAATCAGTAGAGATGATAGGGAAAGGGTCTGGGGAGATGGGCCAGCAGGTATAGAGTATTGTGTCAGGGAGGAAAGGAGGCAGGGCTACTAGGAGAACATTGACCCAATAGCCACAGGGCTAAGCTGCCGAGCATGCATCAACGTGCATAGCCTACCATTCAGCGCTGTATAGTCTGGCTGCTGATGGCATCATAAAATAACTCCTCGAACCTATCTTACAGTGCCACCATAAAATGGCCCTCTACATTCCAAAATCACTGTTAACAATTTTATTGATGTTTTATGTTCAGATTTATTACTTTTAATTTGAAGTATGCAGAAATTATTTCTGATAGCTGTGAATGTAGTTTTCCACCTCTACCGCCAGATGGTGATTGCATGCGTCAGTTGAAAATGTCAAATGTATTCAAAACTGTGGCACCTTTTACAACTGTTTCCATCATCAGGGTTTGGAAGCACAGCCATTTCTGTCTTACTTGTTTAACATAATTTTCTTCAAGTAAAAACATTCTTCCAGTTAGAGAGTCAATATTTCAGGGAGTGTCTGGGTGAGGCTCATGCTCCATGTGGCTGTAGCCAGTGGCTTCAGTGGCAGCAGAAGATTTCAGAGGTAAAACCAGAAGAACTGCGAGCCTCGTGTGTTGAAACAGAAGATGCTGCTAACTGCCTGTGGCTTGTAACGAACTCAAAGCCTTGCCCCAATTGCAAATCACCCATACAGAAGAATGAAGGCTGTAACCACATGAAGTGTTCAAAGGTATTGATTTAACTATTTCAGTGCCGGTCTTCAAAGATTTTTTGTTCACCTTTTCTCATATGTTTCATATTTGTATGTGAATTTTATGCAGGTATTATAATAACATGTCCAATGTACAGAATTTGGGGATCAGTCTAATTTATATTGACATGTTTTGCAAATTGTCAACTGTCTAATGAGTCTCAGTACTATAAGAGACAAACACAATATTTATTTACTTCTGTGTACTAGTAACTACTACTACTGCTAATACTTACTGCAAATACTACTTATCATAGCAAGAACAGTAGTAACTAAAGCATCATGTACAGTAATAAGATAGGAATAAAGAAATTTATCTCAGGTGTTAAGGGTGTGTGTTGTATTGATCAGGTACCCAGTTCATTTCAGATGGGATATTATACTAAATTCAGCCATGAACAAATACATGTCTTTCCAAGTTTACTATTCACAATAATCCAAACATTTGATGCTTACAGTCTGAGTCACTGGCAATGTCACTAAAAATACTACAAATCGAACATGATTGGTAAGGTGTGCACACATTTTCAGTATGTGTTCTTGCACTAAAGTACATCACCCATATTACTTTGGTTTATGTTATTACTGTGGTTGTTATTATTATGGCTAATATGCCTTTTGTAATTCAGAGCATTTCAGTAGTTGTGCTAGTGTTGCTTCCACTTCACAAATTCATATATCGACCACAGCCCCATTACTGATTGTATGAAACTGAAACATACACATTTTGAATGGCTTCTGATGGCACAGTGTTCGTATACTTGACCTTATATGGAAACAAGGATACATCGTCGTGAATTAGTGACATAGACATCCACATGGATATGCTTTCATTGCTTATAGGAGACAGTGCATTTTAACAAGAACAACAACAAAGACATGAGTGATACTGGCAAATAAGTATGACCAGTTGGACCACACTGATCATAGGGACATATCCCTAAACACTGCCACAAATACACAATCTGCAGGCTTAAAAACATCACAGAAAATTAGTTTTAAGCTCCTGGCATGCAAGAAGACATCCCCCGCCTGTCTTTAATTTTAGATATATTTTGCATTAAAGATACCTTAAAATAAACTTTCTGATACTTCACATGAGATCTAGATGTTTCTGTGTCCTCCAGATCAAAGGTGCAAATCCCTGCCATCCAGAAAACAGATACTTTATGAAATCTTTACTTAAACTGAACATTCATATTGACCCCTGAAGACTCCAGACTGTCTAGGTACTAGCTTTCTACAGATATTTATGCATGGTAGACCCTTTTCCCCCTCTACAGGTATGCTATATATATTAGTCACAGGATTCGGTTGTAAAATACGGTCGCGAGTCTCAAGGGACTCAGACCCAAGAAAGACTATGCTGGCAAGACCCAGTAGCGTGTAAAAAAGTTGGACCCATCTTCTCGTCAGAGAGGGCGCCCCACAAAAGACAAAACAGTAACGTTCAAAAGTAATAAATATCTGGTCATGAGCCCCAGATGGGGCCGACACCAAGACTTACTGACTGACCGTCAGTCGCAATATGACTTTGACTTAGTTGTAATGTTTGCATTGTAGACACTAAAAAAGAAGGTAAAGCCATAGAGGCCCATAGCATGGTGAGAGGTTGAGGCTTCCACATTTTCTAGACAATCAGCTCACAGGTGGCAGTTAGGTTATCAGCCTTATGCACAAGCTACCCTTTACCCCCAGGAAGATTCCTGGTACTTAGATCTGTTAAAGGCTGAGTCAATCCCAGGGCCAATGTGCAGCTGGAAGGATTAGATCAATTGAAAAATCCAGTGACCTAATCGGGAATCAAACCCGTGACCTACCAGCTTGTAGCATAGTGCCTCAACCAACTATGCTACAGTATGCCTCTTTGTAGAAGCTGAGTGAGCAATTTTCATGAAACTTTTTACCATTGGCTTCAGACCTTTTGTGCAAAAATCCTATATTAACCTCCAGCAGTACCTTCCAACCCACAGGCTGATCCTTTCATGTATTTTCTACAGTAAAGCACAAGATCGACTACTGTAAATAGTATTCAGCAAAATGCATGAGATTAAACAAGCAAAATCCCTGTTTCAGTTGCATAATAATGCACAGTTTGAAGTTTCAGTAAAATCTGTGAAATGGTTTATGAGATATATTGGAAAATTCACTTATCACTGGTCCAGAGACTAGCTCTTTCTGATGGGCCCAGCAGAGTCCTTTCCCCTGTTACAACTAACAATGAAATAGATCCAGTTTCTAAAATGTGTGTATCAAATACCCGAGACATTGGACAATAATCATATAAAAAATAAGGTCTTCAAGAGTCACCAGAATCCTTACATTCTTCTGTTATATTTCACAGTGCAAGTTTGACTTTTGTTGGGTGTGCCTGGAGAACTGGAAGAAGCACAGCTCCGCCACTGGAGGCTACTTCAGGTGTAACCGTTTCGAGGCAGTTCACAAAGCAGATGAGAAGCAAGGCATTCTTATCAGTGAGGTCAGGGAACCTACTTTAAAGAGAATCACTGAGTTTTCATGTAAGATTTATTGTGAGTGTTTTTGGAAAATGTATATGCAGCTAAGAAAACATTTTGTGAAATTTTCCATGATTCCACAGGAACATCTTATAGCTCACTGTAGGTGTAGAGAAGGTTTAGGTGTAGGTTTAGGTTCCTCATGTCACTGTATGGCCTAATAATGACCTGCAGTAATTTGCAGAGCTGCACCTTTTACTGACCAGAAGTGATGGGGTGATGACATAAATTTACATTTTATTTAAAGGGTCACAGTGTCACAAGGTTTGAGACCCCTGCTCTAAAATGTACCCAATATCTTGACTTTTCTCTGTCTTCTAGAATTGTATCTGATACTGTCTTAGCACATTGCATTTGTGATCAACATTGCCCTTGTTTCCATCAGTTTCTGAACATTAATCACATTACAGAGATATTGCACACATATTTACAGCAACATTCATATTGTCACTGACCTTTGATCCATACACATGAAATATGCGAAGAATGTTCATAAAGGCACTTAATCTCTTTTAAGAGTGGTATATTTGAGAACAGCTCTTCTATTGCAGCTGGGAGCTGATAACTGGGAATGTGATTGTCTTTTCCTCCCCTCTTTTCACATGGGCAGAAATATTCTTTCTAATTTTATTTGGTGCCATATTGGGCCATTTCAGTGCTTTTCACAAAATTATGTATATTTCAAACAGTTTATCATCAGAGATGTGTGGAACATAGACACACTTCAATATAATTTCTAACTACTGTAATGTCAAGATTTATTTAAATAACTCTTAAATTTGGAGGAACATCAATATTTATCCAATAATTCCTGTCGCCAGCGGCCAAAGTATGAGTAACGTTTGTGATTTTGGCTTTCAGGGTTTAGTCATGTCATGTTGAAGCTGTTCCTTTTTGGTGTACATTGCCGTCTCCCTGAAGATGGCAGTTCTAATGTACGTTGAAACAGCTTCATCACATGGCATGACTGAATACTAAATGCTGAAGTTAACACATTAGACACAAGCAGCAGAAATCTAAGAACAAGAATACAGTAAAATCTGTTTTCTTACTGCTTTCCTGACTTCTTTGCCTTGAATTGCTGTGGAAATTGACCATCTGTAGATGTCATATTTTATGTCTCATTTCGTTCTCAGGCTGGAAATTTGAGGCTGAAATAGCTTGTATTGTATTTTGATGTTCTAGGCAATGCTAAGGAACCAGCAGATGCAAGAGCTGAACCGCTTCCTTCACTACTATACAAGATTCCGGAACCATGAGAACAGCCAGAAGTTGGAGGAACCATTGTTGAACAATGTGCGCCAGAAGATGGAGGTCTTAGCCTCTTCACTTAGCAAAGGACAGAAACGTGAAGGTAGGAGTCTTACAGACTATCTTGATACTGTATCAGTAATGATCACTCACTCATGGAGTTGAGCCCTTCTCAAGAAGCTGCCAATTGTGCAGCTACTCAAGAACTTCCCAGCATTTTATGGAACCAAAAGGTTCATTACCATGTTTACAAGAACCCTCCACTGCTCCATATCCTGAGCCATATCAATCCAATCCATACCATCCCATCCTATATCTCTAAGACCCATGGCCAGCAGACAAGAAGACAAAAGGTTATGAACTGAATGGCAGCACGCATTTCCCGAGTTCAGTCTCATCTTAATTTCCTCCTGAATGAGGTTTTGATTTGTTAGCATCGTTGCCAAATATCCTAACTGTGCCACATTTTCAAAACATCTGTTACCTATCTTTATGCCATTATTTTGCCCTGCATTTTGGTGATGAGACAGCAACATATACTTAGTTTTCCCTGTGTTTACTTCTAGACCACCCTCCTTACTAGCATCAATTAAAGTTTATGTGTTTTTCTTTATTGCCTCTATATAATGACCCATCATCAGCATAGACCAACAGCTGATTTGTCCCATTTAATTTCAGTCCTACTTGATTTTCCTGGATCTTCCTAATGGCATATTCTAAAGCAAAGATGAAAAGGAGTGGCAATAAAGCATCTCCTTGTTTTACACCATTCTTGATAAGGAAATTATCAGACAGTCTTATACAGTCTTCATGATATGTTTTGTTTAAACACATTTTAATCAGCCTGACTAGTTTCATGGATACCCCAAACTCTATCAGAATATTGTACAATACTTCCCTCCTGACTGAAACATGGGCTCTCTTGAAGTCTACCAATAGCTGATGTACTGTCTCACTGTACTCCCATTTTGTCTCCTGTATCTGACGAATGCAAAATATCTCATCAGCTGTTGATCTGTTACGTTGAAACCCACACTAATGATCCCCAGTAATTTCATCTATGTATGAACTTAACCTTGAGAGAAGAACATTGGATAACATTTTGTATGGAGTTGATAGCATAATTACTACAGTCAGTTTTATCATCGTTCTTGTGAACTGGTACAATAATAGACTCCTTCCACTGATCAGGCAATTTTACCTTATGTCATATATAAGTAATTAGCTTATGGATCATAGAACATAATATTTCACCTCCTGCTTGAATAATTTCCTCCAGAATTTGTTCACTGCTTGGCAATTTATAGCTTTTCAGTTTTGCAATAGCAATTTCAACCTCAAAAGGCAATAACTGAGAGAAGTAGTTCTTCCACCTATTCAAAATGTTGTGGGAATCCTCAAGCAGATCACCATTCTCATTCTTCACTAAGTGACTTCTAGGATGGTAACTCCTTTTGAAGTCATTTATTCCTCTATACAGGTCTCTAATGTTCTTATTCTTACTGTTCATTATAAGCTCATCAATTTTGTCTTTCAGATTATCTCCATTTATTTCACTTGGATCCTGTAACCACTGAAATTTGGCTTGTTTTCTTTGGTCTAATAATTTTGAGTATCCTTCATCAAACAATGACTTATGCTTCTTCAGTTCTCAATAATCTAGACTCTCTTTGGCAGAAATAGTGACAGTCTCTCTAATTTTTTCCAAGCTTTATTAACATTCACCTCAGTGTCTAAGTTTTCAAAACCAGCTAATCTATTTGAAATTTCAACACAATACTGCTATTTACCCTCTACCTCGTTTAATTTCTTGAGCTTAAACCTCTCCATATAAACTCTGTGCATTGTTTGTTAACTCACTGCAAGTCATGTCTCTCAAAATATGGTTAGTCTGGTTGTTTTGTCTTCCCATCTGGAGATGTCCACATAAATTTATGAATGTTACTATGTGGGAAAATCATACTTTTGACAGTAAGATTCTTGGGCATAGCAAAGTTTACTATTCTAACTCCATTATAATTACTAATTTCATGCAAACTCTCATTCCCAGTTGTGAGTTTGCAAATGTATTCCCTACCTACTTTGGCATTGAAATCTTCATTGAAATTTTCATATGGCACTTCGGGAATTTATCAAATATATGTTCTAGTTCTTCGTAGAACCTGTCCTTTATATCATCAGTTTTATCTTCCGTTGGGGCGTGAACATTCAGAACAATATCACACCAGTGACCTCTTAATATTATGTATGCCATTCTATCACTATGAACTCTACCCTCTTCACTGCTGATATGATTCACTTATGTACAAAAAAACCTGTACCTAATTCATGATTCTCATTCCCCTCTCCATAGAAAAATGTATATTCGCCTGCTGGTTCAGTGCCTCCTTTGTCCCATCTGACCTCCTGTACTCCCACTAAATCTAACATATTTCGTTATTTCTTCCGCCACTGTCTTAAGTGAACCTGCCTTATACATACTTCTAACATTCCAAGTACCAAATCTCATATTCATTTCCTTTTGTTAGGTTCAGTAATGATAAGATGTTATAAATAAATAGTAAATACAAAGATTTTTAAAGTAAAAGACTTCAGTATTTGTGAGATCTGAGGTTCTCACAGTTATGACTATGAAACTTGGTCTCTGACATTAAGGGAGAAACATAGACTGCAGGTGTTTGAGAACAGGGTGTTGAGGAGAATATTTGGACCAAAGAGAGATGAAGTGACAGGAGGTTGGAGAAAACTGCATAATGAGGAGCTTCATAACTTGTACTCTTCTCCAAGTATAATTAGAATGATCAAGTCAAGGAGGATGAGGTGGGCATGGTATGTAGCATGAATGGGGAGAAGAGGAATGCATATAGGATTTTGGTGAGAAAGCCAGAAAAAAAAGACTCTTAGGAAGACGAAGACATAGGTGAATGGACAATATTAAAATGGATCTTAGAGAGATAGGGTGGAGTGGTATGGACTGGACTGATCTGGCTCAGGGTATGGACCAGTGGAAGACCCTTGTAAACATTGTAACGAACCTTTGGGTTCCATAAAATGCTGGGAAGTTTTTGAGTAGCTGCGCAATTGACGGCTTCTCAAGAAGAGCTGAGCTCCATGAAGTTAGAGGTTCTCACAGTGGTGACTATGAAGAGTTCTGTCATCTGGGACGTGATGTTGTGTACTGTAGTAGCAGTTTGCTGATGTTTCAAAGTCTAGGATAAGCCAAGCAAGCAGGAAACAGAATGCTTGGCTCGCTTCTTGTTGCTGGCTGGCTGCTTGCTTGGCTTACTCTTCAATTGTGAATTCTCAGACAGTATAAGTACATTCCTCCAAAATATTGGTAAACTTTTACCAGACTACATGGTGTCACATCCCAGAGGAAATGGTCATACTGTCCCAGCATTTGCCTGGAAAGACTGAGCGAAACCATGAAAGCCTCCGTCAGGATAACCATTGTCACATTTGATATTCAAAATTGGTATCTCCAAAATATGAATCTAGAGCATGAAAACTTGGTACAGTATGTCAGTAAAGTGGATATCAGTGTGATGAAATTATCAGGTGCAGAAAATATTTCTGAATTCCATTATGCTATAGGATACCACACAATTTTTATGTTGAATCATGTTTGCACTATGTGAAATTTGAGATTCTAACAGCAGTGAATAGGATGATTACTGAAAGAGTATGGCCATGCAGGTCATAACATTGTGTAGTTGCAAGAAAGTCCGACATTTCGCAGGAACATGTCATCTCCCTCTTCAGGGTCAACAAGAAGCCAGCAGAAGCCGGCAGCAAGCTGATCTCAGCTTGCCACCTGTTTCTGCTGGTTTCTTGCTTGGTTTTCTTCTTTTACCCTGAAGGTGGAGGTAGTATGTTTTTCCAAAATGTCAGGCTTTTTCTGAACTACATGGTGTTACATGGGACCTGATTGCATGCAGTCTGGTAGAAAGATACCATCCTGGATTAACCTGCTGCCTCCATGATCAGGATAAATGGACAGTAATCTTCATATTTTTACTGTGTACAGAATCTGCGGAGAAGGGAACGAAATTTGTGGAGGATGGAGTACGAGAGTTATTAAAAGCCAGGCGAGTTCTTTGTGGCTCATACGTTTATGGCTACTACCTGGAGGATAATGGATACAACAAGACCATCTTCGAATTCATGCAGGTAACAACAAATAATTCTTCTGTACTGCTTCAGGTAAAATACGTTGATTTAGTTTTGTTGCATAAACGCTTCCAAACATTATTAGAGTTAAAGGAGATATTTAGTAGAAAAGTATGTGGTAGATGCAGTGTTAATCGTGTGAAGCATTGTGGTTACTGTATGTACCACTTGCTTTAATATTATCATGTGATTCAGTGACTCTGGACGGGGTTTGGATTGGTAATTGGATTCATTTAACTAGTACTAATCGTAGCTAAAATAAAATTACTAATTATTCTGGGACACACTAGGTCTTCTCAGTCTGCTGTGTCTTTACCAGTCTTCTGGTTACAGCATTCAGCAGTGGACATTCCCCTTCTTCTGGGTTCCCAAACTGTCCCCAGCCTCAGCTACAAGCTTCTAACAGCAACAGCTCACTGCAACTATACCACAGCAGTCCTCTAACTAACTCCCACTAACTCACCAAGCAGCTCCTCACACACTCGCTAACTTGTCAACCAACTTGCTTTTAATATCTTGGCACTGACCACACAGAAAACACCATTCCTCTGTTGCAGTGCAGTTGCATTTGTATCTGTTAGGGTGCCCACTACTCAGCCATTTCCTAGCATCGCCCATTGTTTGCAGAGCTATTACTTAGCAACAGCTATTGCATCATTGCCTGGCAACAGGTCTACATGCCACATTGCTCCCTCCTTAGGGCTCTTCGTTCCAAATAGCCTATAGGCGTACTGCCATTTCTTCTTTTCAGAGGGCTGTGCTTATGATGTCTGTGATCAGCCTCACCTTCCTTCCTCATGGCTCGGTTCTCAGGTGATTACTGTTCCCACTGCTCCCTCCTTAAGGCCACTTGTTCTAAGTGGTTCCCTAATATGGTGCAAGCCAGTCCAGATGTACCACCGTCATCGTTTCTGAGAGCTGTGCTTTTGTCATCTCTTCTTTATTTTCAGAGGGGGCCAACCCCTCCACAATATCCAGTCACTCACTTTCCACAACCTGATGGAAATCCCGACTGTTTGCTTCACAGCCTCAAAATTGTGGGTTTGTTCAAAGGCCTCATACGAGTATAATGTCCTCTTGCTTCAAGACACAGCCCCCACCTCCTTCGTCGTCTGATACCATTGCCAGTTGTCTTGTCAGGTCCTCTACAAATGTGTCCCTTGTGCAGTGCAGGAATGGCAGAGCAGGTCATCCGTCCACATGAGGCAGCCAACTTCTGGGACCCACCATCACACTGGGTCCATTTCTTCAGTTATGGTGCCCTACAACTAAATGCTAGTCCCCATAGCTGTCCTCCACCTCAGCCTTTTCCTTAGGGACTTCCTGATGTTCTGACTCACAACTCTGTTTCTTCTGGATATGCCTCCAAATCTGTGGCCTTTATCTTTTATAGACAGGCCTTCATCATGGCCTCAGTCATTTCTTTACCAGCTTTCATTATTGCCATCAACTCCTCCTTGTGATGAGGGTCCATCTTGGCTTCCAACCTTGTCATCATTTCCTCGTGACTGCCTTTCATTTCATTTGGTGCTTATTTCAGTCAGCAGGCATTCCATCATTTGTTCCATTCTCGTAGTGTGTGTGACATGACTACCCAATGCGGTCTTTGAACCCTGACTTGTCCTCTTTATAACCTCTCAGTGTGGACTGCATAGAGAGCACTGATCCCCTGTTGCAATGCAGTTGTTGCATTCATGTCAGTTCGGTTGCTAATGTGATCACCACTCAGCCATTGTCTAGCAACAGCCGTTGTTTGCAGAGCCATTACTTAGCAGCAGCTGGTGTATAGTTGCTTATTTTACAGTCATTGCCTAGGTACAGGTCTACATGCCACAGTATTAAAGAAACTCAGCATTTTATACACACAGTTTGTTCATGGCTTTTATATGATTCTCAGAATAAATGACAGTTATCTCCATAAAATTCATTAACTGATTGATCTTCATGATGGATGTGCATTGTAGGTCATTGTCTTCTTTGTTGTCACATGTCTGAGTACCAATCATGCCCAGTGTTGTTTAACTGTGGTGATCAAGCAAGAAGTAGTGAATTTAACGTGGTTGTTGGTCTACTGAGATGTCACTCTTTGTAGTCTGACAGATATTTACTGATGTTTATGAAGAATGTGCAGCCTTCATATACTCAGTGTTCAGGCTAAATGAAAACAGCTCATTCCTCTGTAATCTTGATAAATATTTACCAGACTACATGGTGTCACATCCCAGAAGAGCGTAACTTTCATAATCACTGCTGTGAGAACTTCAAATCTCATGAGATGGAGTGCTTTTTCTGATGTAGGAACTGAATTTTTAAGCGTTAATGTCAGGCTGCTGGGGTTAATTCAGATGTCAGGTATGACTGGTCTTGTTTTTGTAACATATTCACATCAAGAGTTGTAAAACTGTTGCAGAATGAACTTGAAGAGGTCACAGAGAAGCTGTCTGAAATGGTAGCCCGTCCTTACTTGCGCACCCCTCGTCCAGTAATCATCCAGACAACTGCATTGGCGCGGCGGAAGCGTCATGAATTTGTGCGTGCAGTATCTAAAGGACTAATTCCTCCTGAGACCCCTCCCACACTTCGTAAAGTCCGAAAAAGGAGGTTTCCTGGGCTTATGGCTATGGATCCAGTAGATGATGTAAGTATTGTCAGTATAACCTGTCAAACACCATGAACATACGCACATACATATGAGGGATTCGCAAACTTCATGATGTTGCAAACCCCTAATTAATACATTTTTTTCCTTTGTGGTTTGCATCCTGTTGTGTATGTGATAAATGAGTAAATGGATCCGTGAACGCGAAGTAAATATCTTCAGATGAAGATGAAAATAGATACTGTCATATCATTATTTACAATGTAAAGGTGATTGTACATGTTTCGACCTTTTCTAGGTCACCATTAGGCATTACAAGAAAGACAAACCAAGGTCTTGAATTGTCTTAATATGGACCCGTACTATGATTTATTCACTATTATTTCTGACAAATGCAAAAGATCTGATCTGCAGTTGATCTGTTACATTGAAACCCACACTGATGATCCCCAATAATTTCATATATATTTGGACTTAACCTTGAGAGAAGCATATTGGATACAATTTTGTATGAAGTTGATAGCAGTGATTTCCCCCGATAATTACTATTCAGTTTTATCACCCCTCTTGTGAACTGGTACAATAATAGATTCCTTCCGCTGATCAGGCAATTTTTCCTTATGCCAAATAGAAGTAATTAGATTGTGCATCTTAGAATGTAATATTTCACATCATGCTTGAATAAGTTCTACCGGAATTTGATCACTACTTGGCGATTTATACCTTTTCAATTTTGCAATAGCACTTTCAACCTCAAAAGGGCTAGGATCAGGTACTAACGGCTCAGCTGTATGCATTTATATCTGCCTAACATCACTGAACCTATGTACATTCAATAACAGAGAAGTAGTTCTTTCACCTATTCAAAATGTTGTTGGGAATCTGCAATCAGATCACCATTCTCATCCTTCACTAAGTTACTGCTAGGCTTGTAACCCCTCTTAAAGTCATTTATTCCTCTATACAGGTCTCTAAAGTTCTTGTTCTTACTGTTCNACTTGTAACCCCTCTTAACTCTTTGACTGGTGCGAAGGGTATTTAAATCCCACCCCTGTCCTTATGTCGCTAAAATGCATGTTGTTACTTTTTCCTAAACAACTTCAACAAAAATTGGTTTTTAAAAACGAAATTTTTAGGAACTAATTAAAATACAATATTTTATGCAATAAATGCTTTTCCACACCTCTTTATTTGTTTTTCTTCGTGTGATAAACATTGAAACATGAAAGTTTGCAGAGAGCCACACCACAGCCTGCACACATGATACTTGTTTC